ATTATTTGAATTTTTTCAGCTAATTCTAAAATTTTGTCTATACTATCTATTTTAGAAGATGTCTTGTTAAAAATTATTAATTCTTTATTTCTTGGTATAAATTTGTTTTTAAAGTTTCTAAAGATAAATTATCTAAAAATTCTAAGTTTTCTAGATTTTCTTCAATTTCTAGGTCTGGTTCTGGTTGTAAGGGTTCATCAAGCTTAGCTCGCAACTCTGATGATACTACAGTATTAATAATAGAAGTGTCTTTTCCAAAAATTATAATATCAGGAGTAATTGTTAAACTTCCATTTCTACTAAGCAAGAATTTGGTTCCTATAACAAATTCATCTTTTATCAATGTGCTAACCAATGTAGTCGTTAAACTATACTGTTTTTCTTGAAATTTAATCTTACAATCATCAAAAAGTCTCTCTTCGAATCTCATTTTACTACCGTCCATTTGACTTCCTCTTATTTCATATTCTAATTTCTGTCTACAATCTTCTGGCACTAAATCTTTGTCGATTATATTAAATGTACAACCTATGTCTACTAATGCTATCAAATTTAATTTTATTATTTTGTTTATCTGTACTTCTATAGGTATTCTGATACTATTTATTGTCTTTACTCTAAATATTTGACAAATTATTTCTTCCTGATTTTCTGTTTCCAAATAATTATTTTCTGTGCAATTATCTATAGACTGTTTTCCTTTTGTTTCTAGAGTTCTGATCCTGTATTGTATTTCTCTTAATACTTCGTGTATTTTATCTATTTTATTATTTGTATCTATTATTTTATTATCCATTCTTTCTATACTTTCACTATAGTCTTTATTTTTATTTATTTCTTCTTTAATACCTAAACAATTATTGCATTGAATTTCTAGACAATTTTTACACTGATTTATACTTTTGAATCATGGGTATATTCTGCATATTTTACATTTATCCATCATTGATCATAGTCCTCTAATCCATTCATGGATACACTCTTGCTCTAAATTCATCATCTTTATATCTAAAACTGAAAAATCTAGTTCTTCTAAACTATCATAACTGTTTTCAGAATCACTTGTTATTTCTAAATTATCTAACTCTTCATCTGTGTAAATACTATATACTGAGTTACAAGATTCATTATCAGATAATTATATTATGTTACATTGTATTTCTTCAATTATCATATGTTTAGCTGCATTTTCTTTATTTTTATATTTATTTGGGCATTTGTTAGCAAAATGTCTAGGGTCTCCACAAATATAACATTTACAGTCCTTTCTAATTTTTGGTTTTCTAACATATCTATTATAATTGAGTCTTTTATTTTTATAGTATGTCCTACTTGGTCTAATATTATATTTCTTTTTATTTTGATATTGATTTTTATATTTTTGTTTTTTTTAATCCCTTTTATACAATTTTTTCCTTCTTCTTCTATAATCATATGTCTGTGGTGTATATAAATCTGAGCAAAAAGAATAATTTAATTTCTTTATTTGATTTCTAGCCACTTCTTCTACACAATATTTTCTCAATTTATCAGTTATAAATATCATAGTGGCACTTATAGTTATTTTCTTTGTTGGGTTTGACTCTACATCTTTTCTAATTTCATCACTTTATGGTGGTGGTATATTTCTATATAATCTTTCAAGTATAAGGTAATCTAATGCTAATCATGCTGCGCTTGCTAATCTTTCAAAATCTAACAAAAATGGTTGTATGTATTTCATATTACTAATACTTAATTTTTTTAAGTCTTCTAAAATTTTATTTTGTTCATAAATATTGTCTCTACTGGGATCAGAACCTATAATTAATTCTCCAATAAAACTTGTAAAATTTTTAGGATTATTTCCTCCTACCATTCTTAATCTAATTTCATTTAGTTTTAGTCTTTTTGCTGTAGCGTAGACATCTAAATCAGTCTTTCCTAAATAAGTTTCTAAATAAACCCACATTTCTTCTACAGTCATTTGTATAGGTACACTATTATTCGCTCTAATTACAAAATTTTCCCATTTAGTTATAGTACTAGGTATGTCTTGTGGTTTACAATTATTTAACTCTAAGACTAATCCTCTATCGCTTGCTAACAGTAAACTACATCCTTCTTCCGTTTGTCTTTTTCCTAAACTTTTATATATTTTATCAGTCCATTCAAAGTCTCTTGCAGAGGGAAAAGGATATTTACCTCCTATATTGTATTATGTATTCATGGGTTCTTTTCTTTTTTCAAATTCTTGATCTGTCTCCCTTTTAACTCTCTTGCTATTTTCTTCCATCTTGGTTTCTATATCTACTTGATCTTTTTCTATTAACATTCTAGTTTCTATTTCTCTATTTTTTTAAGATTTCTGTAATATTTCATATCTATATATCCAAATTCTTTTTAATCATCCTCGTTTTCATCTTCTTCACTTTCTTCATCTAAAGTATTAATTTCCTCTTCACTTTCATAGTCTTCTATTTTAAAATATCCACATTCTCCTTCACTTTCTTATTCATTTTGTTGTGTCTGTTCTGCTTGATAATTATAATTTTCAAATCTAATACTTAAAGTTCCATTACTATTTTTGTACTCAATATTATTTTCTGGCACTAATAGTGGTTTTTGTAGAAAATTTCCTAAGTTCCAATCTAATCCTGCATATGTTTCTAAAGAAAATTTCTTTGCTGAGATAGTCTTTATACCTTTTTGTCCTAATAATGTAATTATTTGATTATTTTCTAATTTATAATTAGTAGTACTATTTTCACTAAATCTTCCTATGAATCCTGTGCAAATTAATAAATTATCCTCATCTCTTTTCATTTGATATCATTTGCTTTTTATTTCTATTTTAATATCTTTATAGAAATTCTTTGTTATAACTAAATAGTCTGGTGTAAAATATACTATTCCGACTTTATTATTCATATCTAATTCTATGCTTTCTAATAATCATTGTTCTATATCAGTGAATCTGCTATCATATAAACATACTAATACTTTAACTCCTAAATTTTCTCTGTGAAGCCATTTTACTCCTATTATTATTAATCCTAAATGAGTCTGTTGATTATTTTTATTAACGATTTCTTTATAAGATTCTTTTTCTATTAAATCTAGAGATACAAATTGATCTTCATGTGTACAGGAAGCATATCTTTCTCCATAATGCTGCTAAATTAAAGATTTACTAAATAAATTTTCTTTTTTATATATGTCTAAAGTTTTTACTAATTTCAGTTTATTCTGTCTAAACATTTCTATTTGTTCTTCTATATCTATTAAAAATTCTAGTCTTGTTTCAAATTCTGTTTTTCTACTTAATGTTATTAATAAAGGATTACCTACTAATTTACTACTACTGGCTACGATTTGTTTTCCTTTATGCATTATGTATAGATCCACTTAGTTTTCTTAAATCTATTAGGTTTATTAGTTTTACCTAAATCTAGTTTTTCTAGTTTATATATTATATTATATTATCTAAATCTTGTCTATTATTTATCGACTTTTCTTTTTCTAATGTTTTAATTATGCTTTCCAATTTTTTTAAGTTAGGACTAGATTCTGCTTCTCCTGTATTATTAGATTTTCTTTTTAACACTCTTAGCCTCTTTATCCTAGATTTCATGGTCAAAAGATAAAGTAATCCTCTGAGTTAAGTTGGCTAATTTGTGTCCCAATAGTGGGAGTTTGTTTAAGATTTTTTAAATATGATGAAAATTTTTTTGGCTACAATCTTAAGCCTTCTTTAAAAGGTAAAAAAAAAAAAAGAAGCTAAGAGAGAGTTTAAAAAAAAAGGTATGAAAAATTTAATTTGCTGAACTGTAAAGTACTCAAAGGCCATTACAAACATATCGTTTTAAAGTTTTAATATTTTACGCCTTTAAATTATACTGCCTTACTTACTTATTCATTGGAAAGTTTTAACAAATATATTAATACTTGTCTAGAAAATAGAGAGAGATGAAGATTAGTCGTTGTAAGAAGCCATATTTTATCCACTCTAGATAGAAATAGAGGTGACCCCTCTTTACAGATCAAGAAGCAAATCACTAAGCTCTCTGCTTTCAGTGTCGGAGTTTCTTGATAGAAGATCCTAAAGATTGTAAAAAAGACAACAACGAGCAAAGATTATAAGAGAAAATAATAAAAGATATTCTAATAGAACTAGTTAGACATTTTTTTTTTACCAATAGACCTTTAGTAGTAAAGACAATAGAAATATACCTATATACTCTTGGTTGTAGTAATTTAAAGTGCAAATTTTTTAAAACGAATTAATTAAGTGTAGAAAATCTTACCAAATTAGTAAACTTTCTCTAGAAAATATTTATTGGTAGGAAGAAATTTGTATTTCAAAATGTGTAAAAATTTTAAGAGAAAGACCTTATTAACAAGTCCTCTTCATATTTATTAGAAAGAGAAATTTTTGAAAAACAAGTCATTTTCATATTAATTAAAGAAAAAAATTTCAAACTTTTGGTAGGAAGATTTACGTAAATTTTGTAGACTTTGTCATTTTCATTAAAAGCGTTTTCAATTTTGTTAAGACTTTTTTAGAGTTTTTCTTATACTAGAATGCCCCGAATTGAATTGTATCCCGAGAATATATATATATATATATTTCATTCAAAAGTTTTGACGAATTATTTATATAAGTGTTTTGTTTATGTAATTAATGTTAGATTGATGTTGTTTGTTTGTCACCAAAGTGGCCAAACATTATGGTATTTCGAATACTAAATTACATAATTTATTTGTTAATGACTCTTGATAGTTTGATGCTTATAAATGAAAATGACTTTATTTTTTGTATCAAGAGTATATTGACGTTCATATATTATAAAATTATTATAGATCGTCCAAATGTTGATCAGTTAATTTTGTTAATCTTGAACATGATAGTGGTTAATTGATTTACTTGGTCGGATGTGTTTTGTATATCCAAAGATATCATACATGTTTGATTAGAGTATATTTAATTACTAATTAAGTAAAATTAAATTAGCATCATTATGTCTATTTATGATGGTATAACATAGTACCACCCAAAGGAGAACTACGCTATACATTTATTGATATCTGAATCTGAAATTAAGTATTTAAATCTTAACTCAAATCATTAATATTAGAGCATTTTATATTTTGCAGTATTTGTTCCCGTTTCTCTGCATTCACATGCTTCATCTGTGCCACTGTTCAATGGGCTCAATTTCTCTGACCGGTGTGAACAAGTCCAGTTCAACTTAGGTGTTTTAGACTTGGACTTCGACTTGACACTTCAAGTTGAGAAACCTATTGATCTTACTAATGAGAGTAGTGCTCATGAAAGATCTTTCCATAAGGCTAGGGAAAGGTCAAACAGATTAAGTTTAATATTAATGCGGATGACCTTAGCAAAGAATATCAAGTCTATTATCCCTAAAACTGATAATGCTAAGGAATATATGAAGTTTGTGGAATAACGTTCCCAAACAGCTGACAAATCACTTGATGGCACACTGATGGGCACCTTAACCACCATGAAATTTGATGGTCGTCGTACCATGCATGAGCATGTTACTGAAATGAGTAACATTACAACAAGACTTAAGACTCTTGGAATGACTGTGGATGAGAACTTTCTGGTACAATTTATCATCAACTCCTTGCCTCCCAAGTACAGTCCATTCTATATGAACTATAATACCTTAAAGGATAAATGGAATGTGAATGAATTGCATAGTATGCTCGTGTAAGAGGAGACAATGCTTAAGAATCAAGGAACTCATTTTGTTCATCTCGTAAGTCATCAAGGAGTTGGAAAGAAATATAAGAAAAGATCTGGAAAGGACATTAAGCAAGAACCACTAAAGATAAATGAGTTTTCTGCCCAAATCCACAATAAGAAACACAAGAAAGATATGTGACATTTCGAAAGTAAAGGTAAGATTATTTCTTATGTATGTTTCGAATCTAATTTAGCAAAAGTTCCTTATAATATTTGGTGAATTGATTCCGGATGTACCCCTCATATTACTAATACGATGCAGGGATTCCTTTCAATTTAGACCATAAAACCAAATGAAAAGTTTGTCCTCATGGGAAATCGAGTCAAAGTTCCAGTTGAAGCTATTGGAACCTATCGTTTGATTTTAAATACTGGACATCATTTAGATTTATTTCAAATACCTTATGTACCTTCTATTTCTCGCAATTTAGTTTCTTTATCGAAACTCGATTCTGTTGGATATTTTTTCGATGGTGGAAATGAATGTTTAAATTTTTTAAAACAAAATCATCTTATCGGTTCCGCTATTCTTCGTGATGGATTATATAAAGTAAAGCTTGATAACCTCTTTGCCGAGACTCTTTTGACCTTGCATCATAATTTTGGTACTAAACGTGGTTTACTGAATAAATGATCTACTAACTGGTGACATAAACGTTTGGGGTCACATATCCAAGGAAAGGATAGAAAGAATAGTAAAGAATGAAATCCTCCCTAACTTGGATTTTAGTGATCTTGGAGTTTGTGTAGATTGTATTAAGGGTAAACAAACCAAACACACAAAGAAAGGAGCCACAAGAAGCACGCAGCTTTTTGAGATAATACACACCGTTATATGTGGGCCTTTTGATGTTCCATCATTTAGTGGAGAAAAGTATTTTATCACCTTTCTCGATGATTTTTCACGTTATGATTATGTCTATCTACTACATGAAAAGTCTTAAGCTGTAAATACTTTAGAGATCTTTGTCAATAAAGTTGAACGGTAATTAGACAGAAAGGTAAAAATTATTAGATCTAATAGAGGTGGTGAATATTATGGAAAGTATGATGAAACTGGGTAACACCCTGGTCCATTTGCTAGATTTCTTGAAAAACATGGCATATATTCTCAATACACTATGTCAGGCACACCACAACAAAATGATGTGACTGAAAGGCGTAATTGTACTCTAATAGAAATTGTTAGGTGTATGTTAAGCAATTCATCTTTACCTATTTATTTGTGAATGTTTGCATTAAAGACTGCTATGTACCTGCAAAACAAGGTTCCTAGTAAGGCAGTTCCAAAGACTCCTTTTGAACTGTGGACGGGAAGAAAACCCAGCTTAAGGCACCTGCATGTTTCGGATTGCCCTGCAGAAGCAAGAATTTATAATCCAAGTGAAAAGAAACTGGACTCAAGAACAATCAGTGGATTTTTCATTGGTTATCCAGAAAAATCAAAAGGGTATAGATTTTATTGTCCTAACCATAGTACTAGAATTGTTGAAACTGAAAATGCTACGTTCATTGAGAACAGTGAAGTTAGTGGGAGTTTGGGACCACGAAATGTGGAAATACAAGATGTTAGAGTTTAAGTTTCTCTACCGTCAACTTCTTCTAATATTTGTTGTTCCTCAAATTTTTGAACAGCATGACAATTTACCTGAACAACAAATAAACGATCAAACACCCCACAATGAAGTTGCTACTGATGAACCCGCATTAAATGAACCACAAGAAATAGCATTAAGAAGGTCACAAAGACAACAAAGACCTGTTATTTCTTATGATTATATGGTTTACCTGCAAGAGTTTGAATTTGACTTGGGAATTGTTGATGATGATTCTGCTTCATTTTCACAAGCCATTGAGAGCGCTAATTCTGATAAGTGATTCAATGCTATGAAAGATGAGTTGAAATCTATGGAACATAATAAAGTCTGGGATCTCGTTGAATTACTAGAATCATGTAAAAGAGTTGGGTGTAAATGGGTCTTTAAGACCAAGCACGACTCTAATTGTAATATCGAACGATATAAAACTAGACTTGTTGCCAAACGTTTTACTCAAAAAAGTGGCATTGATTATAATGAGACATTTTCAACAGTCTCTAAGAAAGACTCCCTCAAAATTATAATGGTTTTTGTAGCTCATTATGACTTAGAGCTACATCAAATGGATGTAAAAATCGCCTTTTTAAATGGAAATTTAGATGAAGAAGTTTATATGGATCAGCTTGAAGGTTTTTCAGTTGAAGGAAAGGAACACATTGTGTGTAAGTTAAAGAAATCAATATATAGACTTAAGCAGGCTTCCCGTCAATGGTATTTTAAGTTCAACGATACCGTTACTTCCTTTGGATTTAAGGAAAACGTCGTTGATCAATGTATATATCTAAAGATCAGTGGGAGCAAGTTTATATTTCTGATTTTGTATGTTGATGATATCTTGCTAGCTACTAATTATTTTGGTCTATTACACGAGACTAAGAAATTTCTCTCTAAAAATTTTGAAATGAAAGATATGGGAGATGCAACTTACGTGATTGGAATTGAAATATTCCGTGATAGGTCACAAGGATTGTTGGGATTGTCTCAGAAAGCATATATCAATAAAGTTTTAGAGAGATTTAAAATGAAAAATTGTTCAGCGAGTGTCGTTCCAATTCAAAAAGGAGACAAGTTTAGTTTCATGCAATGTCCTAAAAACGAACTGGAACGCAAACAAATGACAACTATTCCTTATGCATCTCTTGTTGGGAGCTTAATGTATGCTTAGACTTGAACCAGGACAGACACCAGTTTTGCTGTCGAGATGCTGGGCGGGTATCAGAGTAACCCGGGACTTGATCATTGGAGAGCTGCAAAGTAAGTATTGAGATACTTGCAAGGAACGAAAGATCACATGCTCAATTATAGGAGATCTGATAACTTGGAGGTCATTGGATATTTAGAATCAAACTTTGTTGGATGTGTGGATATGAGAAAGTCCACATTTGGCTATCTAATCCTCTTGGCTGGAGGGGCTATATCATGGAAAAGTGCGAAGCAGTCGGTCATTGCTACATCCACTATGGAAACAGAGTTTGTGGCATGCTTTGAGGCCACAATTCAAGGAAATTGGCTGCGAAACTTTATTTCAGGGCTTGGAATTGTCGGCGGTATTGCCAAGCCACTGAAACTTTATTGTGACGATTCTGCAGCGGTCTTCTTTTCAAAGAACGACAAGTACTCCAAAGGTGCTAAACACATGGAATTGAAGTACTTTGTCATTAAAGAAGAAATTCAAAAACAAAGGGCGTCAATTGAGCATATTAGTACCAATCTTATGATTGTGGATCCATTAACAAAATTATTGTCACCAAAGACATTTAATGAATATGTCGGAAGGATGGGAATAATTGAAAATTATCATCGACATTATTATGTAATTTATAATGTTTATGTATTCACACTTTGAACTCATTTATGCATTGTTTTTGACAAAATATTATTCATGTCATAACTATTGGTACATGTACGTGAATGCTGACAGGGATAGTCTTTTCGAAGACATTATTGTAATGCAATTATCGAATTTATCATTATGTGTCATGTTGGGTAAGGACTAATACTGTAGTACATGGAAGGAATTATGCTGATATGATGGTGTAAAACCGCCATGACTTTTATTAGTCTTTACTCAAAGATGATATATTAAGCGGCTAATGTATGATGGATTTTAGCTAATGATATGCACATTATGTTATATACCATATAACGAAGCAATATATTACACGAGCCAAGTGGGAGAATATAAAACCAATTATTTTGTGGCCCATGTAATATTAAAGAATTAATTATAGGTGGTTAATATTACTAAAATCTTATTGACCTAATTGAGAAGTGGCTGTTTTATAACTGTCCACTTTGATGGAAAGTGGAGAGTTTTATTACCCATAGAAAACTGCCTCTCTCTGCCTATAAACATGAATGAAACTCATCAATTAATTATTCAATTACAAAGAGGCATAGTCAGGGAACAGTTTCTTATTTTGTAGATTTAAAATTCTCAATTACTGTCATGGATCAAGGTATGTTTTTTTTTTTATCAATTAAATTCATATTTGAAAATCATGAATTCTAAAGATTTTGGCATTAGGGTTTAATTTCTTACATTTGCTTGATAAGTCCAAGCTTTTCTTCCTTCGGGCAGTGTTATTTTTTGGGCGTTTCAGGCACACTTAGGGTTGGCAATGGGCTCGGCTCGGCCCACGAGCTCGTGGCTTGTCCGAGCTCGACCCATGTCCGAGCTCGTGGGTCGAGCCGAGTTTCGGCTCGTTGGCTCGCCTATTTTTTTAAAAATAAAAAATAGAGTTTTAAAAATAAAAAGTGTTAAAAAATAAAAAGTATTAAAAAATACAAATAATTTAACGAAAACAAGTTTTTATTTATATCATATTGTAATTTGTAATACTTTTTATAAAGTATAAAAAATTTATATAATGAAAACAAATTATTTTTTGAAATACATTTACAAAAAATATTTTTTTTTATTTCTTTTAGGTTATCATAAAGAATAGAGTTTTAAAAATAAAAAGTGTTAAAAAATACAAATAATTTAACGAAAACAAGTTTTTATTTTTTTTATTTATATCATATTGTAATTTGTAATACTTTTTATAAAGTATAAAAAATTTATATAATGAAAACGAATTATTTTTTGAAATAC